GTGCAGAACGAGGTATCTTAGTAACAATGTGAATGCATTAAATGCAAGTGGATCCTCAATAACACCATTCTACATATTTCCACGTGTTCATTTTAAAGAATTTTTTCTGCGAAATTCAATTCCTGGTTCTGTTGGCACTGCCAACAAATCTGGGTGGATGGTGGAATCAACCTTTATAGAGTTGTTTAATCATTTTATAAAAAGTGTTCGACCATCTAAGGCAAACCCTGTGCTGTTGATACTAGATAATCATGAGTCTCATATGTCAATTAACTTCATTGACTGAGCATCAGATAATGGTTTAATTATTTTAACAATCCCACCCCATACATTACACAAACTGCAACCACTAGATATAACAGTGTATGGACCTTTCAAACGTCATTATAATCGTGAAATTGATAGCTGGTTGGTATCACATCCAGGAAAAACTGTTTTAATCTATGACATTGCAGAAATTTCTGGAAAGGCTTGGCAAAAGTATCAATGCCAGTTAACATCATTAGTGGTTTTTCAGTATCTGGAATAAGTCCTTTTCAACCTGATCGGTGGAAAGGATGAGGATTTTTTTTTATCTCAGGTTACAAATAGACCCAATCCTGAAACACTCAACATCAATCCAGTGTCATTAGAAATTAATAGACATAATTCTGAAGCACTCAACATCAATCCAGTTTCATAAGAAATTAATAGACCTAATCCTGAAGCACTCAACATCTATCCTGTTTCAGTAGAAATAAATAAAAATGTTAAAGTCAACAAAAGTGTTAGCATTATCCTGAATGTGGAAAGTATACGCTCTTATCCTTCTGCAGAAGCTCGTTTAGAAAAATCCAAAGGTGCTCGCAAAAAGCTCTCCTCTTCAATTCTAACTGATACTCCAATTAAAGAGGCTCTTCAAAATTAACAACTTTAGCAAAATTTAAAAAAACAAAACTTTTCTGAAAAACAAAAAGATGCTAAAAATAAACGTCAAAGGAAATCAAGAAAGTAATCAAGCAACTCAAAAACTCTAAAGTTTCCATTAATGACATATAATAATGATGAGGCTGATGATATTCTTGTTGAAAGAAATGATAATGGTGTCAAAGAAAGTTTAAATTTTTGTGGAGGTATTACATCAAATTACGATTTGTGTGCTATATGTGAATAAATGGGTCGTGACAACGATGTGTGGTACCGTTGCAGACAGTGTGCGAGCTGGGCACATAAAGCTTGCACAAGTGCAGATAATGCCAGCCAATATGTTTGTGATTATTGTAATTTGATTATCTTATTGAGACTTCGGTCAAAAGTTGTATTAATTAATTCAGAAATATCAATATTGTCTCAACATACTTCTTTCTTGGTGATAAACTCCATTTATCACCCTAATTGCTTTGCATAACGTAACTTGTTATGCGCAATTGTTTACAACTTTTATTATAATATACAATATGCAAGGATAGTTAGTTAAGATATTATTCTTGTCTCCCGAATTAATATATCGGCTATAGTTTTTAGCGATAGAGATATTGATCTTTTTTTAAAAAAAAAAAAACTTTTTTTGTGGTCTATTCAGTACAATGAACAGTTCTGAATGGACCATTAAATAATTTGGTACGGTCACATTTATCGCATATTTTGCCTATGTTCTGTTAGCGCGATGGTTTACAACTTTTAAGGATTGTTAGTTAAGGTATTAATCTTGACTTCTGAATTAATATATCCGCCATAGTTGTTAACAATATCGGAAAAAATTATTTTTACAAAAAAGTTGAATTTTGTGGTCCATTTAGTACCACTCTCCCCTATATACGGTTTTCATGACAGGTCAGTAGTAAATGGTAATCCAAGAAGAAGTAAAATAGGGGACGTATTTAGGGGGTTGCCATTTATCAATACAGAAATGTCGATAATGTTGCAAAAGAATCGTTATTGTTTTTCTTCAAAAATGTTATTTTGAAAACTTATATGAATGAAACTTTTTTTTTGTTTGTGAAAATAACGTATTTTTTTGTAAAGTTTGTAATGGTCTTTTATATAACAAAAATAAAATGATCAATTTTACAGATTCTTGAGTTATTCAAAATATTATTACGCTGTCATGTGCGAAACTACAAACGTCTTAATTACTATTTATATATTAATATAAATATAATAATTAACATTAATTATTAATTATTATTAATTATTAAATAATATTAATATTAATTAATGTTAATATTAATATAAATATAATTATTAATTAAAACTTGAATACTATTAATAAATATTTGAATTTTAAATTAGTAATAGTAGAGAATAATGTAAATCAAAATTGTTTAGCTATGTTTTAGATTTTAAAGTAAAAGTTTTTTAAGTAAAACATATTTTTTTTTTTTTTTTTTTTTTTTTTGCAACTCAAAAATGTGGAGATGGAACAAAGTAAATCTAACCTCGCGATAAATAAACATATTTGGCCATTAAGTAAATCTAACCTCGCGATAAATAAACATATTTGGCCATTAAGTAAATCTAA